CCCCCCCCCTTTTTTTTTATATACCTTTTATGCTGTGGGAATCAGCTTAAGTAATGATGATCAGCAGTTTTCGCTCAGAAGCTTGTTAAAAGAAGAAGCTATCTATACTATACCGCTCCTTTGGTAAACCTAACAAATCCAGTAGATAATGGGATTGTCCTCTCCTGCATTGGAAGTGCAGGTGGGAAGGACTCCATCTGGGAAGCTAAGATCACGGACGAACCATACAATGAATGTACTATATGAAAGCTAGGACACTGCTAACTGCTAACTACATATGGCGTTCCGAACCCACTGCAAGGGCTCGAGGGGAATAACAAATGCAATATCCTCCGAAATATGAATCGGAGCAAACATCATGCATGCCCTTTTTTTCCTGTCTAGGTTAAAGCGGCTTTTAGGATACAATTACAAATGAATTAGCCCTTGAAGAGCTCTATCAAGCAATCGTTTGCCATTCCTTGGTACACTTAGCCATGATCATCTACTCAGTTTGACTCTGGGACTGAGCAGAATCGATCAACTCTGTGATGGGACGTACGGTGCCTGGACCAAGACAGAGAATTTGAAACCCCTGCTCGTAGATCCCTGTACTCCGTATAATGGTGTGAAATGGTATCCTTCTAATAGATCAGCGCATGTGATGTATCTTTTTTTTTTAGCCACATCCCCTATCTGCTTCAATGTCTTTAGCAAATCTTTGTTAACTAGGTAATGGAATTTGGATGCCATTATCCCGTAAATCAATATCTTTTTACTTGTGTGCAGAGGGTATGTACTATCCATCTATACATATATTCAAATAGGTGTATGGTCAGCTATGGAAGGTAAAATAACAATACATTTGATATGTCCACTGTAAAAATTTCCTCATCTTTCCGGGGCGGGGGACTCACTCGAGCTCCACTAGGTTTTATTTTTTTTTATTTATTTTTTTAAATTTTTCTTTCTAGCGTCTCGTGTTGTCTCAGGCCAGTAATAAGTGAGAAGGTACCAGGATTAGGGCTGGTCCAATCAGCCTGGACGAGTCAATCAGTGACATATCCAGGATGGACCTACTAGTACTAGGTACTACTTAACATTTCAAGGTTACCTGACGCGACTTACCGATAATCTCAAACCCGCGTGTTCATGTTGATTTTTCCTTCATACTTTTCTTAAGAATTTTCCAATGAGTTGATTGATATACCAAGAAGTGGAATGACACATCGATCCATGGATCATCATAATGAAGAAGGCCCGGCCCGCTACAGAAACGGGGGATGGTTGAATTGGTTTAGCATGTTCCTTACTCACAATGCGCGACCCGTACGTAAATGTTGCAGCCACAAGATCCTCTTACACCTAGCTTCTCCAACTCTCTGTGATATATTCATTTATCATTGTTTTCCTGCCCAAAAGTGTCGATTGATGGGGTTAAAGATCGATGGACGAAGAGTGCTAGACGGGATGGATGATACTACTAGTACTAACCTACCAAGGCAGTGGAGGTCCTCTGATGGCTTAGGACGGCCACGGTCTACGTATGTGTGCGCGTGGTAAGTAGGGGTGGGTGGGGACAGCAATTCCTTCCTTTCCTTTTTCAACTATAAGTATTAGTCAATAGATGATCGGACGCTGGGATACATACACCTACTCTCGTACAGAGTACTCCGTAGAAGTTCGGCCAAGGTGTGCCGAATCGTAGGGGACTGAAGCATGACTCGCAGTGGATCGAATGTGCGACGCGTGACTAAGAAGGTTGAAAACCTGTATGGAGCAAATCAACTACTACTCTGTAGACTGGACAACACCTATTCAATGGTGGAGCTCGTTTGTTCTTGTTCGACAAGGTAAAGAGTAAGGTAGGTATCCATGTAAGTATTAGGCATTGTGGTAGACATTTGTCGCCAGCCGCGGCTGTCGCGAAGACTGAGGCGCATTTCCCACCGACGCCAAGGAAATCCCTCCAGCGGGGCCCTCCAGCGAATAAGATACTACGTACTAGTTCGTAATTTCACACTATTGACCGGCTGCGGACGGTCCGTTCTGTAGCTCTGCCGGCGAACCCTTGTCATAACTTTGCGGTACTTCTGTCACCCGCACGGTTTCTTTTACTGTGGCTATACTCAGGAAACCCTCCCATTGGAGGTTGAATGCTAAATGGTTGTCCTCACGGCAGTGCCATCTGTACTCGGTTTACGTATATTACTATATCTCAAATTCTCTCATGTTGTGTGCATACGTAGGGTATACGAGCTGCTTCTGAACGATCCGTGAGACTTTTGTCTTATTACGAGGACACAACATCCTGGACTCCGAGCGTCCTTCAGCTCCCCGGGCTTAACTAGCAGCACTTTGTCATGGCCTGGAGCTCTCGGGCACCCTGCGTATTTCTGCAGCCAGTCTTAAAATTCCCATCCGCTCCGAAGCTGCATGTGGCTTACCCTCTGTCTAGTAGTAGATGTCCCCGGCAGGACTGCAAGATACTTGCTGCATCGGCCGACCCATGCAAATAATAAATGGATGGACTCCTAAGTTCTCACGAACACAATGAAATACCATGAAGCACCTACTTTCCTTAGTAAGTGGGCAGAATTTTCACTTTTCTTCTCTTTTCTGTCTTTCTTTCTTTCTTTCTTTCTTTCTTTTTTTTTTTTTTTTTTTTCGGTGACCCTACCTACGATCAGGTCTGGGACCCAAAGAAAACGAGATACCCCCAGTCTCAGATCTACATCCATTCGGATCATGGTGCTGATCGGTCCACTAGTGAGGCGAGGGTTGACCGTCAGCCTTAAAACTGCTTCTCCTAGTGGTCAGATGGGTTCCAACAGTTCAGGTGCCTGCGTAGATGACGAGGGTATCCTAGTCGACTAATTCTTTTTTCTTTTCCTTTTCCTTTTCCTTTTTTTTTTTTTCTCTTTTGATGGGAGATGCTTTCATCATCCCATAATACAGGTTGTACCAAAGATAACGGTGGGCATGACACATTCCCTAACAATATTGATCGTACATGACTTTGTAGTCCTTGGATGAGAAAAGCCCCCAAAGTGGAGATACCCGATATTTACATTAGTCTAGTACCTGACTAAATGGTACTACTGCCTCCGTACGCAACCAAGCGGCCACTTAATAGCCGGTTTTATCGCCAGGCTGAAACCCTTATCCTCCGTCTTGGTCTAATTTGTCTGGCTGGTCAATGCTCCACCCTCCAGGACCACTGGGTCAGTTGATATATAATCACATAGCAGATGTGGTTTCTTACAAGGTTGTTGTATTTGATACTCCTCTCACCATCTCAAACAACAGTTGGGTGCAGACCCCACGGAGGGAACTCAAAGGAAAGAAGAGGGAGAGGGAAAGGGGGAAAGGAAGGAAATAGAATAATGACAAAAGAATACGGGTTCATCTGAAGAAATATCTGCTTTTCATAACCCGTCAACTGGAGCAAGAACTCTGTATACATGGTTGCCTTGTAATGGTTTGGGACAGGGTGAACTGCCTAAAAGTTATTGAATTACTGTAGATTGCATTATTTTGGAAAGAAGATGTTCCTATTTCACTTATATATACTACGTTGGTATCCTTCTTTACAGTCCAATGAAAAGTAGAGAAGAAAAGAGCGAGTGAGAGAAAGGTAAAAACAGAACGAGGGGTAGAGTACTAATGTATATACTTCCATGAATTCTGCTGTATTGTGTCCAGATACGGAGTAGAGCTATAAATCATGAATGCTTGCTTAACCTCTAGATAAATATTGACCAAGGCAATTCAGTTGTAGTTGTTGTAGGACTGATCTAGGCTAATTGAGCTGTTAAGAACCTTACTAGAGGTAAAAATAGGTATAGGCTCAATACGTCTGGAGATACATCTATACCAGGTCAAGTAGGATGCACCATCAATGTGGGTGTGTGATTATCAGCTCGATCGGGACTGTCACACGCAATCCCGCGATTGGGCCAAATTCACCACTTCTCCACGATTGTCGGTCCCGCCACAACCACTGGGTCCTAACTAGTATACTACTTCCTACTTTTTCTCCCTCCATCGCCCCGCCGAGATGGGCAGAAAAGGTAAATGGCGAGATGATCAGGGGGCCAGAGAGTTCACTCATTGCCCAAGGATGATGGGAGTCGGGACTCGACCATAGAACTAGCTGGATTTAGGTGGTGGATCTCACTAGGTATTGATTTAGCATGGTTCAATGTCTGGGCAAAAGCCCAGCTCGTCATTTTTCCATGCCATCCAATGTCATCTCACTTGTAGGTGTAACAAACCATTGAAGATGTCATTACCTTACACTCACTACAGCAGAAGCTGAGAGGAGGAGAAGGGTGAGAGGATCAAATCGTCCATCTTTGACAATTAAATAGCCTCCGATATCTTGCAAGGTGGATAATTCCTTTTCTTCTTCCTGTGCCTGCACCTACAGTATTCCAAACGGAGGCGAGTGCAGTACATATTACTGGTATAGGCATAGTGCCTCATCTGTACTAGTGTTTTGTTGGTAGGTATGGACTGTATGGACTGACATGGATACCAGTATTATGGGTACTAGTATGTAAGGACAGTACTGTTGGAACACTTAGCCTTTTCCGGGTGCTGTGATCCAGATGAAGCCTTCAGCTAACTCTCAGCTAACAGGCTGCATCCCTGTCGTTGTCCACCCCCGCTGCTTCCACTGCTCTGGGACCTCCGGGCAGAAAGAAGGTGGGCAAAAAAAAAAAGAAAAAAAGAAAAAAAGAAAAAAGAAAAAGAAAAGAAAAAAGAGAGGGATTTTTGTTTAAAATAAAATAAAATAAATAAATAAATAATAAAATAAAATAAAATAAAATAGAACAAGGGAAAATAAAACAAATCCTAAAGATTAAATTAAATTGAAATATTATAATAAAGGTAAATGTATATCTAGTTCTAGATCACCACCACCAGACAGAAAAGTCACGTATGGATGTGAGTGCAAAGATCCAAGGGGTTAGTATATCATACAAAAAGCAACAAACAAAGAACCAAACACACCCATACTAAAAGGGAAAGAAAGAAGGCAAAGACGAAGAAGACAAGAGAGATAGAGAAAAGGTCATAAGTTGCTTCCATACTTATCACTATCACACACGAGCAATATCTTGTCAAGTGCCATACATTACACCCAACAACTCTCCTTCTCACCATCTTCCACTTTTATACTCTTCTCTCTTATTCAACCTTGCTCTCTCTGGACCTTTGCTCGATAATCATCATCTCATATACAGCTCTCCGAGTCTTCTGAACTGCGGAGAATTAGAGATTCTCTATCCGATTGACCCTTTTAATATTTGCTTTTTTACCATCGGAAGATCACATTCACTCCTTATACTTTATTTGCTTGTTCCCGTTCTATTTGCTTCTTTCCCTCTATCATCGATAGACGTCGAACGCAGAAACTTCCGAAACCCGGCGTTGACCTTCGACTATTGAGCACCGGTTCGTCCGAGAAGGGAGCTCACCAGTAAGGCTCCTCCGTTTCGTTGTAACATACGAAAGTGAGGACTGACGTGGAGGCAGCGAAAACAAAAGAGACGAGTAGACAGCAAAGGCGAAGTAATTCTAGGGTAAGGTAACCTAGGCATATCTTCTTTGCTTCTAATCTCGCCTGAGATGGAAACAGCTGAGCCTGTGTCCTATGAATTCCCCGGTCATGCAATCGGTGCTGTTGCGCCGCGTCGGATGTTGGCCTCCAATATTGGTCATAACTTTCCCTTCTATGCAAGCCCAGCAGCGTCATTTCCACTGCCATTCCACCAGTCGCCCTCTACCGCTTATGGATTTGGCCATGCACTCAATCATCACCACCATAACCACCACCAACCCAGCTATCCTCAGTTCTTCGTGGCCAGCCATGAAACGATCAACTCTCAGCCGATGAGGCTCTCGTCGGAGCCACCACCTGTCCAGTCAATCCCTGATATCCGTCCTGCCAAAAATGCGGTCAATCGCGTATATAGAGATCCGTTGGTCAAAACTGATTCCGGCTCAAACATACAACAGACTTCCATGGCCCGCTCATCGACCCACGGAGCAGCTGCCCAAAGCAAGAGCCCTAGCGTCGGCGAGATTGAATTCACCACCGAGGTTGATATACTTATGAAAGCAATCCAGTCCAGAACTAGTGTCCAGCCGCCGAATATACAATCATTGCCGCCTCTACAGCAATTAACGCACAGGGGAGGTCACGGTTACCCCCAGACCCATTCTATTCACTCATCTGGCAATACCAGATGCACTATGATGTCTGATGAAGCGCAACCACGGTCAGGGAAGAAGCGCAAATATGTCTGTACCCTTCCACACTGTGGAAAGAGCTTTGCTCAGAAGACTCATTTGGACATCCATACAAGGGCCCACACCGGAGACAAGCCCTTTGTGAGTAGGAAGAAGACAATAATCTGCCGGTGATTATCGTAGATCCAGTGGCTGACCATCTTCACTGACAGATCTGTAAGGAACCTTCTTGTGGACAACGTTTCTCCCAGCTAGGCAATCTGAAGGTGAGCCCAATCTAGTAACAATTTGTCTTGTTATGCGAGAGAGAGAAGATAGATTTTGACCATCTTTCTCACAAATAGACACACCAGCGACGTCATACTGGCGAGAAACCTTTCTCTTGCGATATATGTCAGAAGAAGTTTGCCCAACGCGGCAATGTCCGTGCCCATAAAATCACACACCAGCATGCCAAGCCATTCACTTGTCTGTTAGACGACTGCGGGAAACAGTTTACTCAGCTGGGCAATCTCAAGGTGCGATGATCCATGCATTGCAGTACTCACATAAATTGGCTATACCGTATCTAACTGGTTGGACAGTCTCACCAGAATAAATTCCACGCAACGACATTGCGAGATTTGACATTGAAATTCTCCCAAGTAGCCACAGGGGAGCCCATGAGTCCGCAGGATAGAAAGCTGTGGGAATACTTTGCTACTCTTTACAAGAATAGCAACAAGGGAATAAAGGGCCGTGGAAAGGATCGTAGGATCTCCCCTACCTCTAAGCTAGGACCTGGGAAGCGACGCCAGACCCTAGTCAACAATGACGACAAGCTGCAACGACCCAGTTACGAGGAATCATCGGGCTACACCGGGGGTTCAAGTAGTGACGAGGAGGATACGGATACCTATTATATCGATAGACAAAATCATTGAGCTACACACTGATCTTCTGTGCCATCATGTTTCTACCTGTTCTTCCTTGGCTTTGTGTTGCAATGTATTTCAATGTTCTACGATACCAGGTTTATGTTGGATTTTTATGGGAACCTCTCCACGATCGAGGCAGCATTGCCTATCAGTTTATACAAAAGGCACTCTATGCACTACTATTGGTTTAAGTATATATTGGTACAATAAATTAAGTTCAGTTATATGCATCATCGGTAGGTGTGTATCCCACGCGTCGCCGGAGGGAGCAGCGTCACAATTGCGAGTGCTTTGTATGCCCTGGCCTGAAATCGAATGGGCAGACCTCGGTCCTTTTGGTCATACAAATTCTCACATTGCAGTAAAACTATTTTTCTTTCCTTTTTTTTTTTTTTT